ATGTGCCCTTTAAGGATATGGTAAAAGGCTCATCACTGACCATCCAGTCTTGTCTGAAAACCCATCATTTGTGAGAATTCATGTCTGGCCTTCCAAAAGAAAATACGTCTGAGTTCAATGATAAGGTTTGCTTTGGAAGGTAGATTCCACATCAGGCAGTCACTTAGGAAAATGCCACCAGAGGGTTTGATAGCTCTAGTTGGGCCTATTTGTGCCACGATCATTAACTAGATTCATTTGCTTTCAAGAGTGGTCTGTTGGGTCCCATACCCCCATTTTCATATTTTCTGTTGCCCTCTGTTGCAGTTTTTTGATGGTCCAAGGCAGAGGTAAGAAGCTGAGATGCAGAGAGACCCTTAGGAACACAGTAGGTTACCCTACCCCACCAGATCCCTAGTAATAGCACTTTTCCTCACTGCATGACTGCCCCATGTCAGGCCTTCCCACACCCTCCTCCCTTGCAATGAACACTAGGGACACTGTACTCTAGGACCTTTTAGGAACTTCTAGGACTTGGTGAATGCCTCTGAAGGAACTCCTGACACCTTGTCACAATCCTTCCCTGTCACCCTCCCCACTTCAGCCTGAGAGGAGACCCATGATGACCTTGAGGGCTTTCTTCTGTGGCCATGAAACTTACTGACAGACCCACCCAAAAGCCATCTGAATCTCAGAAGACTCACTGTTAAAGTGGGTGATCTTAAGGAATTCAGTTTAATTGTTTGAGGGGATGTTTGTTAGCTTCTTTTCTTTCTGATACTTTATTATTTTGAGACAGGGTTTCTCTGTCTAGCCCTGGCTGTCCTGGATCTCACTCTGTAGATCATGCTGGCCTCTAACTCAGAGATCCACATGCCTCTGCCTCCTGAGTGCTGGGATTAAATGCATGTACCACCACATCTGGCTTCAGTGTGAATATTTTATATGTGAACTAAGCCTTCCTTGTTGCCCAGTCTCCTGGGATTTCTGTCATGTGGTCTAAAGTCTTGCTCACGGCCATAGAACAAAAACACCCCTGCCTGATTTCTACAGTACCTCTTTGCTTGCATTATCTGTGATCTAAATGGACAAAGCAGAGAAAATAGGAGACACAGTGGTTGCTGCATTTCCCACTGCTCTTTAGATGTCCTTTGACACATTAGGTTGCTTTTAGACCTACTCTACCCCACTTACTGTCTTCTGTTAAAATGTCTGTCCTTTACTGCTGCCATCCCACACCAATTACTTTTAATCAATTATGTTTAAAATGCCAAGTAATGCTTGTCCTTCTGCGACAGATCACAGGGACCCGCCCCTCACTCCAGCCCCAGGATATTAAGCCCCATTTATCATTGTTCAATCATTTTCAGTGCTGTTAAAAGCTGGAACTGTGAGTGCTATCTGGAGCTCCCCTTGACTCTACTGTAAACCTCCTTTGAATGTTCTCTGTGTGTGACTCAGACTCTCACACCGGACTGTCGGCCTTAAGCGGCTCTGATTTGAAAGCCTGCTAAAATGCCCTGGTTGTATCCTGGTGGCATGGAACAGCACACAGATGCGTTGAGCACACTGCAGGGCAAAGACATGTGCATACCGTCTTCTGCACCAGAAGGTGCTCTACCTGCCAGGGTGTTCTCAAATAGCTTGAAGAGGTTTTTGAATGGGTTTGCATTTTGGCATCAAATGCAAATATACAGCTCTGGGTATACACCTCAGAAGGCTCTGCAGACATTTCACCCAGGCCAGAGGGCAACACTTGCCCTGGTGACCCAGTGGGATGGCTGCCATGGGTACAGTTCACAACACTCCATCAGCATGAAGTTTTGTGAAGTTACTGATGCAAAGACATTTGCCACACCCCCATTCTTGCTGTATGAGCTGGCAGCACGACTCACTTTCTGGGTCAGCTTGCCCTCTGCTGCTGTAATGTTAGGTCCATTAGAAGAACTCCCTTGTGTTCTTTTCTGCCAATTTGGGCTCTGGGGTTTTGTTTTTCATGACCCCCTGGGCTAAGCTGGTAGCTTGAAGAGGAGATGGCAGCTGAGACAGCAGACTCCTAGAAGCAGCATCTGCTGTCCCTGCAGAGGCAGCAGCCCTTGTGGTAGCAGCAGTGGCAGCAAGGGGGCAGTGGAAGAGTTCTTGGGACAGACAGGCTGGGGCAGAAAAGATGGGGAGCAGAAGGAGAGGATGCAACAAGGGACAACAGAAAGACAGAGGAGCCAGAGCACTGATACTAAAGAAAGACAGCAGGCTGTGAGGAGCCAGAGATGGAAAGGGGTGGGATCCACCTCCCTGGAAGTGTTCCAGGAGTCTGGAAGGGCCAGAGGTCTTGAGAGTCTAGGTTTTGGACCTGTAACAATAGCCCCTCTTAGGGGCCAAGGTGTCTCAACACTGTGAACCCTAGAGCCGGGATGTTAACCTCAAGGAACTGAGCATCCTAAGGAAGAAATGTAAGACTTGGGATGTGGAGTGCTCCCTAGCTCTGCTCCTCTCTGCTGCTGCTGAAAATCAGGGATTATAATGGCTGGATTTTCCTACTGACACTGGGGGTGAAATCCTTGAGGAATAATCCTCCAACCAAAGTACTGGCAGCCAAAGGTCTCTAAATTGTTTCACCTTAAAGAGAATTTAGTTTTCTTACTTTGCATAATGGAAATAATATTAAACTTCCCTCTAACTTTTCTTTGCATCCATACATTACTTCATCTCTCAACAGTCATATGAAAGCCTCCTTTTGCAGTAGACAGCAATTAACACCAAAAACTTCAATGGTCAACTTGAAAGAATAAGAGACTTGGGATGCTCTCACCAAATGGGACATCTAAGCTATGAACCTGTCCCTTCCAAGTCTCAAGGACCGTCAGAGAAGAAGGGAAAGAAAGATTGTAAAAGTCAGAGGTGGATGTTTTCAGGGAAATTCATTTGCTCAACATGACAGAACTGTGGCCCACATGAATGTAAAGGCAGATGTGACCACGTGCACAACATATTCACAGGATCAAGCTGGGAAAAATCTCAGCGTGGATTAGGACGCAGTTCCTGAGTTTACACCCCTAGCTGAGGAGCTATTAGCAGTAGACGATTATTGGGGAGGAATCCAGTTTTGTTAGGGATTTGGTTCCTGAGAGGAGACCCCTGCTCCAGTAGAAGTTCTCAAACCCGTGCACATACACAGGCACCATTCCATGGTCTCAGGAGGATGCTCCAAAGTACATGAAGCTGGGAGGGGAAGGTGGCAGGAGGGACAGAAGACAAATTATATGGTAGATCTGATCAGAGAAAATTATGTGCATGAATGAAATTATTGAATGATAAAAGTGGTTAAAGGCCCTTGAGACCAAGTCTGATAGTCTGTTTCAGATCAGATTGCGTGTGAAATTAGGAAAGGACTACCTACAACAAGTTGTCTCCCAACTACCACATACAGACCATAACATGTATCTGCATACAGACACATACAGAGATATAAACGTAATTTTAATTTTTAACTATATAGAATACATTAATTTATGAACATATCTTATGATTGTGGACATGATCCCTGCACATGAAAGCTTATGATTGAAGAATTCAACAGATTGCACAAGTCTTTCATTTTCCACATGCAGCTAAATCTATGTAAAATGAGTGTGCTTTGTACAAATACCTCAGGAAAGACACACGCAGGCTACATTATTTTGTTTTACAAAGTAAAAATATATACAAATCTCCAAAATAATTTTATGCATATAGCATCTGTATCATGATGATATCATTTGATTTAGACATGCAATATCTCATTATTTTTCACCATATGAAATATTTTTGTTAAAGAAATTTTTACATTAAATCACAAGTGCAACAACTGTGATTGTTTTTACAATTTACTTAATTGTCCACTTTAATTTCATTCAATATAAAGAGATAAGTTAGGAAAAATTTGCAAGTGTAATCTGCAATAGATTCTGCCAGAAATGTGTGTAAACACTTCTTTGTCTAGGTATAACTTCTGCATTTATATTTTGACTAACTTTTATTTATTTGGTTTTGTGCAGACAGCATTTGTCTGTGTAGTTTTGGTACCTGTCCTGGATCTTGCTTTATAGATGAGGTTGGCCTGGAACTCACATAGATCCACCTAAATCTACCTCCTGAGTGCTGGGATTAAAGGCATGCACAACCACCACTCGACTTCAGGTTAATCTTTTTAAAAACATATTTAGTTGAAAAGTATTTAAACTAAATGGGATACCTGTCCATGAAGTATTCTTGCAGACACTAAAGCAAGATTAAAGACTAGGGAAAATAAGTGAACTCAAACAAATATATGACATAAAAAACATATAGAAGTTATCTTTAATGAAATAGCTGATGTTAGAATGTCCTTATAATAACTTATGGGGAATATTCAAGAATAATACTGTCAAATAAACTAATTATATATGGAAAGAGGGCATGGGAGGAAGATGTAAGGGAATGAAAAATTAAAACACTTCTAGACTCAGTTTTAGGGAAGTAATCAGCCAGTGTCATGATGACAGTGAAGTAGCTACAGTGACATAATAGTTGTCGCTATAGCAACAGGAATAATCTGACAGTACACAGGAAGTGTCTGTTCCTAGCCACTGGCTGAAGACACATAAGAGCAAAGAGGCAAGAGAAGCCGCACCTACATTGAGAGCTGCCCTATTGGCAGAGCTGAAAATCATACACCCTGGAACGGTTATTTCAGTGGACAATGGGGCTGGTCAGGTAGAGTTTTAACATTTGATCATAAAATCTTTATGGTTTTGGTCCCAAGCAGTGGTTCACATTAAGATTCTGATTGGGAACTTGAACTTGGGCTTTGGGTATACATAGAATTCCTGTTTCACATGTTTCCTCCACTGCCTAGTGCCATCTGCCTGCAGAATCTGAATCCATCAGGGAAGCTCTGACTGGTGGATCCCCAGACAAGGCTGCGGATTTGGGTATTAGCACAGGTTTGAAAGTTAAGCACCCGAAAGATCAGTTGCTGAATGATGACAGATGTTCCTCTCCCTTTAAAACTCTTTTCAGGAAAAGGAGAAGAGATGACAATGAGGAAGACACCCACCTTCCCCGTCATTCGAAGAGGAATAAGAAGGACCAGGCCTTCCAGGACCCTCGGGCTATAGAGGTAGGAACTATGGCCACCCAAGCTTCTCCACTTGACTCATTGCCTGCTCTGTGGTGTTCATTTCCATCTCCACGAGGCAAGAGAACCCTCCCAGATGCCCTCGGGAAAGTCTTCTCCTTGTCTGCAATGGCCTTGAGGCAGAACAGGATTTTAAGTATTGACATAAGTGTGATTTTACTGTGCATTAGAACAGAGACAGGGCTGACAGAGAGGTTTTCCCAAGCACAACCAGGAGGAAAGGGGTTCCAGAAATTCCTCCACCTTGCAAATGGGGAGGGAGAATCGAACCCCTTCTACGATTAGGATAGAAATAAACTGCAAGAACAGAGAGGCATGCTACTGGCTACAGTGCTCTTCTTGCTTTCTCCCTGAAAAACTAAGAGCCAAGTGAGGTTGTGTGAAGGGATTGGGGAAAGCTTTAGGGATGCTTGTGCTGAAGAGCTGGCATTTCAACTTCAACAGATTTCACTTTAACAACTAGTAAGTGGTAATGCACCATGGTTTGGATGGAAGCATAACTTAGTGAGGAGGGAGCGTTGTAAAGGGTTTCTGGACAAGTCTCATCAGGTAATGAGTAAGTATGGCTCAATTTTTCCTTTCCCGAGCAAGAGATAAAGGCTTATCAACATGTGCCTTCCTCTGGGACACAAACACAGGTAGGTTTTGGATAAAATGTACCCAGACCTACCCAAGTCAAGCAAGGAGTTTCTTGATCCACTGAGTTTTCTGTTGCATATGGTCACCTAAATATGAATACTGGCCTTTGTTTCCAAGGTTAACATCCTTAGACCTCCGTGTAAATCTGCTCCCTGGAACAAAGGTGTGAGATATGGTAGTGCAAACAGAAGACCCAAAGCTTTGGTACATGTCTGTCTTCCTGATAAAGAACAAGGGCTTCACAGTGTTTTCCTGATGGCTGAGTAAAAGAAGAAATGGACAGTGTGTGGTGAGCTGTGGGTCACTAGTACAGATCCCAGACCTCTACTCTGCTATTGATCACATGGGAACTAATGCTCAGGTTCCAAGGAAACAGCAGTAAGACAAATGGGACAAATACATTAAGGGCCTCACACCTATTCCGGTTAGACTTCTGTGCATCCTTGATTTTCCCCAACTGTTGGGGCTACAGCTCTCTGTGACACCACTGATTTAGGCTGGGTGATTTAGGCTGTCTGCTGGAAAGTTTGGTAGCCTCGTACATTTCTCTCTGGTGTTAGCAGTTTGTGGTCCACGCTGGTTAGTTTAACTGCCAGCCTCACAGGCCATGGAAGCCCCTGAGAGGAGGATCTCTTTTTAATACTCTTCTGTAGTCTTTGAAATGTCATGCAGACATGCTATTTCTTGATCATCTTCACCTGCAGTCTCTCCCTGCAGCTCTACTCAGGACTCCCCCAACCACTATCGTTCTAAATGTTAGAGCCTCCTTTTCACCGTGTATCCATGTACCTGTTTAACCCACTCTGTCCAGCTAGTGCTTCTCAAGTGCACAGAGCCTTGGGGTCATCCACTGAGTCCCAGGTAACTGACCAGGGGCCATCTACCCCGAGAGAAGTGACTCTTCCTTCTCCAGCAGCCATCAGTGGCCAATAGCTCCTTAGCTAGAGGTCCAGCCACAACAGCACCTCCCAGGGGATTAACCTGGCTTCATCATGTTCAGGTAACCACAGCTGCCATGGGTTCCCGTGTGCAAGAGCCATACCATAACCAGGGGACAGTGTTTCACTGCACTCCTCCCTGTAATCTGGCTCTTACATTCCTTCTGCCTCCTCATCTACAATATTCCCTGAGCCCAATGGCAGGAGCAGGTGGTGTAAATGTCCCCTCTGTGGCTGAGCACTCACAGTTGCTTAGTGTCAGCACTTTGAACAGTTATGTGTTTCTACATTGACCACTACTCATTGCAACTAGAAGCTTCTGAAACCAGTGTTGAGAGCAGTGCAGACCTATGCATGCAAACATAAATATTCAGAAGGCAGTTCAGCAACATAACCATTCAGCAGAACAAGAGTAAGTCCACCCCCAGCACTTTGGAGAAACTATGGGCTCACTAATATTAGGTTTTGACTATGTTTACAGTGCCAGGCATACACTCATTCATGTGGAGCAGGCCTCAGATCCAATCAGGAGAAGAATTGGTTAGCCCCAGGCACAGAACTGCAACTACTCCACCAGTGGGTTCATCATGCCTGGCGGGCCAACATTAAACCGTGCAGGGTCCAGCAATGGGTAAGATCACTTATGTCTTTTCCCTCACGACAGCCAGCATTTATATATATCTTCTCGGTACTATGGACATTGGCCAGCTGGGAGAGTTTCTTGGTGAGTTCAAGACTGATTTCCCTGTGACCTGCAACAGAAGTGTATAGTGTCTAGGCTACAGGGTCCTACCATCTTATTCTGTTGGGCAACCAAGAGCAATGGCAATAGCCTTCATTCTTTGGTCACCTCTGAGGCTGGCCAAACTATAGGGAGGTAATTTATGTACCGTGCTGAGATTTTACTTAATGACTTACAGCTTCTGGGAATACCATTGTTCACCCACATGCAGTATCCTTATTCAGAATAGCATGTATGGGGCATGGAGAGATGCCTCAGTCATTAGTATTGTCTGCTCTCCCAGGAGACCTGTGTTCAATTCCCGATCCACATGGCATACTTGTCTGTAACTCAAGTTCCAGGGAATCTGACACCTTTACAGACATACACGCAGGCAAAACACCAATGCACATAGGATAAACAAATCATTAAAAAATAACATGTATGACCTCATTTACCGTCTAGTGTATTTCCTTAAAGCTTATTCATACATCCTTAGTTTTCCTTAGCATGTCCACATCTTGCCTACTATTCTCCACTCCTTTTCCCCTATTCTCATTTAAACTTTAACCCCCAGAATTCCCCTCACATTCTTTCATATCACATGCCTTCCACCACATCCTCTTGTTATATATATTTTACCTGGGTTCTAAGGCCATGGGTTCTCATGTAGCTTTTTTCTGCACACTTCATTTTGGTTAGCCCTTACCTAACCCTGCCTTTGTCCATTCACATCACTCCAGAAACTGCTAGAACCCTTCAAACTCCAGGATTTCTGCTCTCTAATTTCATTTTACCAGTATTGTGCTATGTCCCGTCTTTTCAAGCAGACGTCCCCCAACCCAATGGCGTGTTTCTACTTTCTTGGGTTCCAAATGGACTCCAGGATAAAAACAGTGTTTGGGCGGGAGCTCTACCTCAAACCCTGGCACCCTGGCATCCCTGTACCCAAAGAGTCTGGAATGTTCTGGTGGAAGATCCACCTCAACTCCCCTCCCCCATCTCTTTCCCCAAACCAGCCCCTTCAAAGTCAGCCAAACACAGCTTCTCCACCAGAGAGTCTCAAGACCATTCCCACAGGGTATGTAAGCTGCATCCAGGAAAACAGACAGGTGGCTCTTCCAATCTCTCAGCCCCATCTCCTCTCTGAGGGACCGGGAATCACCTGGGAAGTTTTATTCATTAAACCTGGGCTTTTCCAATTCAGTCTGATTTGGTTTGCTGTGACAGCAGAGAGGCCTTCAGGGTGCAAAAGATTTATCACACACAACACAAAATAATCAAAGATAGGACCCACATAGGAGTGAAAAGATGTGGTATTTTTCTTTTGGGGATTTCGTGACCTTACTCAGTGTAATTTTTCCAGTTTTGTTCATTGACTTTCAAATAGTCTTACTGAAGAATTATTTCAATCAGTTTGGGGTACGTGTGTGGGGCATGTCTAGACGTTGGTGAATGTAGAAAGAGCCAACCCATTGTAGGTGGTGCCACTTCCTGGGCAAGGCATCCAGAATGTATAGGAGAAAAGCAAAGCAAGTTTTAAGCAAACGATCCAGCAAGCAAGGATCCCTGTGCTTTCTCTCTGTGCTCATGACTGAAGGTGAGATGCTGCCCTTAAATTCCTGCTTTGACTTCCCTGAAGTAAGGGATGAAAACCTGGATCTGTAAACCAAAGAAAAACTTTCAACCCTGAGTTGCTTTGGGTCAGGGTGTTTTATCACCACAACAGAAATGAACTGAGTAGGGGGCCATTTCTTTCTATGATCTGGAAGACAGAGCAATTGAGGGCTCTGAGTCTCTTACTAAGCCAAAGAGATGTCATTAGTTGTGTTGTCAAAGCCTAAGCAAAGCGGGTACCCCTGAAATGACCTTCTTGGGAGATACATTCCTTGGATGGGTGTGCATGGGGTGGGGGAGCTTGGCCATTGATGGCCTAATAGCTTGTAGACACTTTAAGGACCCTTGTCCGTGGAGCATGTCCAAGTACGGCAAGCACTCTCATGTGCACCTTCACGTTAGAAGCTGAGTTGTGAATTGAAGATAATCATGTCCACGTGTTTTGTGCAGGTGAGGCTTTCCTAGTCATCTTTGGTTTGCTTTGTTGAAATCCTTTCCCTTCTTTCACACAGATGAGGTGACATACTTGTATCTCAGGTTGAATTTTTCAGTTTAAATACAGCTTAGAACTCAAGGTCTGGCCCAATTTTACCCTCTGGTCTTCAGAGAGCCTGGATTAAACTACCTGAACACAGAATTTCAGACATGAACGTCCTTCATTCCCTTGCTCATTAACAAAGTAGTAGTGATTCAACAGTCTTCTGACTCAAGAGAGTGTGCATCGTTCTGAAGAGATCAGAGAGGGTGGGCCGCCAGTGCAAATGGGAGGAGCCTTTGGGAGTTCTTAGTCTAGAGACTGCAGTGGGCATGGTTGGGATTGTCAGTTTCAGTTAGTAAAAAGCAGCATGTAATTCCGGGGGTGCAGCGGGTTTAAGGGTGAATTTTGTTACACTATTGGGGTTCAGAAACAAATGCTTCTCAGGTATATAGGAATGGAATTGGACGGAAAGCTGGGGTTGAAGGTAGAAAAATCTTGGATCCACTTGCTTTTCACTTTAGGAAGCATTATCCAGTTCTATATCACGAATACACGTGAATTTCCATTCAGTGTTTGTGATGCTGTTCCA